GCAGTGGTGACACACACCTTTAATCCCAGCACTTGGGAGGCAGAGGCAAATGGATCTTTGTAAATTCAAGGCCAAGCTGGTCTACAAAGTGCGTTCCAGGAAAGCCAGAGAAACCCTGTCTTGGGAATTTAGCCATGACACTCAGTTTAGGCACTCTGGGTGTGGGGTGTTAGTCACCAAAGAAATTGGTTAAGCTGGGCAGTGGTGGCACATGCCTTTAATCCTAGCACTCAGGAGGCAGAGGCGGGTGGATCTCTATGAGTTCAAGGCCAGTCTAGTTTCAGGACATCTAGGACTGTTACACTGAGAAACCTTATCTCGAAAATCCAAAAAACAAACAAAAGATCCCACACTGGAGCTGTGGAGGCACAAAGAGGGAGCTGCTGCCTCAGGAACGGACACAGGGCTATCCAGAAATGTGGCAGTCAGAACCTAGTGGGAAACCAGCCAACAAGGGAGTATAATTCCCTCTCAGCTAGTGCAAATCCTCCTCATCCGTGCTGGCTTGTCTGTCCACACCTCCTCTGGGCCGTTGGCGATCATTCTACAACCTCTTTGACAATTTCAGGACCGGGAAATTCTTTAAATTCTGGTGTCTGCTTCACCACTGGCTCAGATTATGGTCTGTCCTTCGCTGACTCTCATTTTTGCTACGAGGGGTGAAAAATGACTTCCAACTCCGGGATGCATCTCGCTCTGGCTTGGGGCTGTGATGTTTAAGGGAGGATTATTGGTTGGGAAGGTTATGACAGTGCTGTAGCCACAAAGACCAGGAAGTCTGAGTCAGCAGCCAGTTTCCTTTAGAGACTACATTTCCCGACGTGCAAAGCGGTTGGGGGGGGGGAATGTGCCCTTACGTCTGTCCTCGACTGGTCCAAAGACTACAACTCCCGGAGTGCCACCCTCAATTTACAAGCCGGAAAGTCCTCAACCAGGAACCGGATGTGTCTTGTTGCTCCGGCGAAGCGCTGGGAAGATGGTGAGCCTGGGTTGCGGTAGCTGTGTGGTTTGGGGATATCAATGGTCGGGCCTGGAGTCTCACTTGGGGTTTGGGGTCGGGCTTTCCGAACCCGGATCGCTCTCCCGGCCGCTTGTGGATAGGTGACACGAGACCCGGCGTGGCTTCCTAAACTGGAGCGCCACTTGTAGTCAGCCCCCGTGTACAGCTGTTGAATGAATGAGAAGCTCGGCGTGTAAACTGTCTGCGCGTATACTCCATTAGTGCACGCATCTCGTAGCGGCATCTCGCCAGCTGAGCCTTCCTTTTTCTCCAGGCCACCGGGACAGACCAAGTGGTGGGATTTGGCCTCGTCGCCGTTAGCCTGATCATCTTCACTTACTACACCACTTGGGTGATTCTTTTGGTATGTACCCCCCGCCCCAAGCTCACCGTCACCCTACGCTGGATCTCTTAATAAGCAGACTCCTAACACGACTCAAGCAGCATCTGCATGCCAGGCACTGTGCTGGGTGCTTGGCCTGCCATAATATCACAAAATCTCCACTATGATTGCTGATGGTGTCTACATTTTATAGGTGAGGTTGAGACCCAAGGAAAAGAGTAAGGTCCAGCCTCTCTCATCTGCTGCACCGGACGGTTAGCCAGCACCTCCTGGGTGTAGCAATCACCAGTAGATTTTTATTAACACCTTGAGGCTTCTCTCTTTAAATATTTTTTTTATTATGTATACAATATTCTTTCTGCGTGTATGCCTGCAGGCCAGAAGAGGGCACCAGACCTCATTACAGATGGTTGTGAGCCATCATGTGGTTGCCAGGATTTGAACTCAGGACCTTTGGAAGAGCAGGCAATGCTCTTAACCTCTGAGCCATCTTTAGAAAGAAAGCTTAGGGGGTTGGAGAGATAGATAGCTCAGCAGTTAAGAGCAGTGACTGCTCCTCCAGAGGACTGGGGTTCAAGTCCCAGCACTCACATGGCCAGCTATAACCATCTATAATCCATTTCCAGGAGATCCAGCAAAAGGCCAGGCAGTGGTGGCGCACGCCTTAATCCCAGCACTTGGGAGGCAGAGGCAGGTGGATCTCTGTGAGTTTGAGGCCAGCCTGGTTTACAAGAGCTAGTTCCAGGACAGGCTCCAAAGCCACAGAGAAACCCTGTCTCGAAATCACCTCCCTCACCCCCAAAAAAGAAAGTACCTGGCACACCAGTCTTACTTAAGTGTTGGCTGGGTTGGAGATCCAGGGCGTGAATGAGGTGCACCTGCATGCATGTGCACATATTATAATCAAAAAAATAGAATAATTTAAAAAGACCTAGAGTTCCTGCAGACAGGAACTGTCCAAAGGCAGACAGAGGAAGGGAGGTCTCTGTGAGGTCCAGGTCAGCCAGGTCAGCCAGGTCAGCCAGGGCTATGTCGTGAGACCTTGCCTCAGAAAACAAAAAGACTGGTTTCCAGCACTCAGAAGGCTCCCTGAGATAATGCAGTGAGACTCTTGTTAAAATTCATATCCACCTAGAAGAGAAGGTGGGGAACCTCTTGGGGATTCTTCATGATTCTTTGCTAGACACCAGGACAGGTCCATCCCCTTAGACAGGGGAGGTGGGATGGCTTCCTGTTTGGGCTAGGTAAGACGAGCAATACTTACCAGAGCTCTTGCCCTTGCTGCCAGCCGTTCATCGACAGCCAGCATGTCATCCACAAGTACTTCCTGCCCCGTGCCTATGCTGTCCTTATCCCACTGGCCACAGGCCTCCTGCTGCTCCTGTTTGTGGGTAAGACTCCCATTCTCCAGTGGTCTCCTGATCTGGCAGGGTGTGCGTCCACTCTTTGACACTTGCTGTACATCTGCTTAGAAGCTCCTTGTCCCCAGCTCTCCCTGGGGTTTTCCTGTTCCTCCTTAACAATCACAGGTTCTCCCTCCTGCAGTCGCAGCCTCATCCTCGCACCTGGGCCCCCTACCCTCCTACCACCCTTGCATCTCTTATTGCTTCTGTGGACTGGGGACTATATCTTCATCATTACAGCGTTTTAAGCTCATGGGAGTACACTGAGCTAGTGCAGAGTGATTCGGGTGACGGGACGATAGGATGGGGTGCTGGTAGGTAGGAGGGCGGATGCGTGAGTAGATGGATAGGAAGATCATTCCCTGTGAAATCAGAAGCACTCTGCAAAGCTCCTTGCACTCACTTGACGATGGTTGACTGGCCCGCGGGGTGTTTGCTTGGGAGCCCAACCTTGCGTGTGGGTCATCTTGCCCTGCCATCCAGCCTTCACTTGGGCCTGCGCAATCCTCTCACTCTGCATTCCAGGATTGTTCATCACCTATGTGATGCTGAAGAGCCAGAGGGTGACCAAGAAGGCTCAGTGAAGGTCCAGCGATGAGGCTACCAGAACCTTCTCCATATCTCCTCCAGGGAAGAGGCCAAAGGTCACAGCCTGCAAGACAGTCAGCATGGCTGTGCTGCAGTCCTCTTTGGGAGGTGGGACTGCTTCCAAGTCAGCTCTGACAAACTGGAACCCTCTCCCCTCTCATTTGTCCTTCCAGAAGCCAAGAGGAAGATTGACTGGGAAACCTCTCCTTCATTCCCTTTGGGCTCAGGCCAGAACATGGCTGGTCCTGTCCACCTCACAGTCCAAGCTCCCTGCCACTCCCACAGGGTCCTGCTCTCGTCTGTGTTCCTCTTGTCATGTGCTGGTAGACATAGCAGGCTCCACGGTTGTGTGCAGCCTCCCCGCCTGTTGGACCAACCCTGTCCCTTCACATGGCAGCTCTCTGTGTCTGACACTGTCCAGACTCCATGAGAACTTCTGGACCCAGAAAGCCCTAGGGAAAGACTGACAGACCACAGAATCCAGGGACATCCAGGCAGCCACCCCAGATCCTAGCTGGCCTGTTTGGGAAGATTTACAAATAAATGTTAATTGTGTTGGTGTTTGTCTCTCTGCCTTCTTGCTTTGGGGAGAATGGCTTGAGGAGGCTCAGATTCCCTTATTGTCCTACCTCTGCTGTCCCTATGCTAGACACAAGGTGAAGCGGAAACTGGGAACAGTATGGTCCTGGCTGGGGAAAAGTCACAACTGGGGAGTCAAGAGGAGCCTAGCACACCTTTTAAGGTCTTATATAGCCTAGCCTGGCATTAAAATATGTAGCTGAGGATGACTTTGAACTTCTGGTCTTTTTTTTTTCTTTTCTTTCTTTCTTTTTTTTTTTTTTTTTTTTTTGTCTCCATTTGTCCAAGGCTGGGACTCCAAGGTTGGGACACACTACATCTGGGGTGAACATAGGGCTTCATGCTTACTGGGCAAGCGTGTGTCCCTCACCCTGGCTCCTTCCCCCATCTCTCTTCTACATGACCCTAAATTGTATCAGTTCTCACTCTTTTCTCAAGCCCTCTCCAGCCCTTTTTGATTACAAAGCCACCATCTCTTTTCCTAAAAAAGCGAGGGTCCCCGCTCTGTGCTTCCCCTACCACTCTGGCTTCCACTATGGCTTCTCAAAAATACATATTAGGCTAGAGAGATGTGTTAACAGCTACACCGCAGGACCAGAGTCCAGTTCTAGCACCCACATTAAGTGACTTCCAGTCGCCTGCAATTCCAGTTCCAGAGGACCCGACACTCTCTTCTCGGCTCCACTGGCACCCCACGCGTGTGCACACAGACAAGTTTAAGCCAGCATATCTGAACACCTTTCTCATCTACAACTCTGGTTCTCTGTGTTCCTCCCACCACCCCAAGGCCCTGCATGGCAGAGACTATCTAATCAGTACAGCCACTGTGGTCTCTTACTTATGAAGATGCATCAAGGCTCCCTGCACCCCCTACTCCCATCATTCCAATCTATACTTCTCAAGCACCAGTTTGTGCTGGGCACTGAGGCAGGAAATTTGCTCCATGTGGTTTCTGCCCTGGTGGCACTCCCATTTCAGGAGGATTTTGATGTAATAAACCAATACATGAGCAAGACAATCTCTGCTCATGTCAGGGGTGATGAGAATAAAGGTCATGTGACCCAGAGTGCAGGGGAAGTACATAGAGTCCTGCAAGGTGGGAAGAAGGATCATAGCAAGTAGAAGTCCAGACAGAACTCCTAGGGAGTCCAGGATGGGGGACAGCAAGCCTCGAGGTGGAAGCTTGCAGTTGGCGCTCACGGTGTTTGGAGACGAGTCTAGAGTAGGTCAGGTGGCCTGGGCCGTGGTGAGGAGGCTGGCTTCTGTTCCACTGCCAAGGGAAATCACTGGAGGCTTAATGGACAAGGGTGACATCATCCTGTCCATGCCTTTAAAAGATCAGGCTAGAAGCTGTATCCCTCCAGCTAGTTCACCATTAAAGCTCCAGAGTTTGGCACCGCTCTGGCCCCCGGTGGGTGCTTCAAGTCATATGGAAGGATGTATGACCTGGCGATAGTCACTTCTTTTTATGTTTTTAGTTTCTTCACCTGAGAGACAGTCAATGGGAATTTCATGCCTAAAAATAGCCGAAGAACACAGTTTAGACTACCTGCCTCCAGAGCCAGCACCAGAAACCCACGGCCTCGGTTCAGAAGGAAATTGAGACGAAAATCCTTTCGCCGGCATCCTAAAGAAAGTCCAGCGGCCCCACCCGACCAGGCCCAGGGTGAGAAAGATGCTGCAGCAGCAGCGGAGGTGGGAGTCGCAGGCAAAGGCCAGCGCCCCCCTCGAGGATTGGACATAACCAGGGCAGAAGCCTCGCGATTGGCCTGTCGCAATGTAGAGGTGGGGCCTGATTCCTCCATCGCGGTCTCGGGGATACAGCCAAAGCCAGAGAAGCTGCAGTTAGGGGCGATGGCTACTCCAAGCCCGGGGCCCCGCGAGGTAGGTGCGGACCGGAGAGGGGACAGAAGAGGGAAGGGTGAGTGAACAGGTTCCGCCTTCCTCTTGGCCAGAGGTGTGGACACGCCCCCATCTCAGCAAGGGTAGGACTTTGCTCTGGGACGACCAGGACATGCCCCATATGGGCACAGGTATGAAGGGGGTTATAATCAGGTGGGTGCCCCCCGAGGTGTTCCTCAGTTTCCTCATCAGGAAAAATGGGATTGATAAGCTCTTCCATAAGAGCTCTAGCTCTCAGCGTTGAGTACATGATGGGTCTCCCCTAGCAATGGGGCATTTCAAATAGATTTCAGCATCTATTTGACCTTTCTTGCTGGCATAGATCAGGGAATCCAGGGAATCGGAGTCACTGAATCTCCCAGCATCCTAGCACCTGCTGGCAAGGCTTCCTCTGAAGGCAGCTCAGCCACAGCAGTAGCAGCTAACATGTAACAGACCTTACATGATGCAAAGGAAAAAATAAGACCCCAGGCAGCCTCTGAGAGCCAGTCAGACTCAGCTGGACTTGATAATAGAAGGCGTGCTGCAGGCGGGCGTATGCCGGACGGGGAAAGGAATGGGATCAAGAAACATGATGTAAAAGACACACAGAATAAAGAAAATGGGAATTAAAAAAAGAGGCATGCTCGGTCTACATCCTACTTGGGTCTCGCATGTCAGGTGCTATGTGGCCCCTCAACACCAGGAGCGGCCATAGCATCATCGCTGTGTTTTATGGCTGGGGAAAGTGAAGCAGAGAGCGGCAAAGGGGAGATCTGAACCTGTGTGTTTCCCTTCAGAGACACCACCGTGTGCTCTTTGTCTCCTGTGACTCCTCCCATCAGTCCTCCTCCCTGGAGGTTGCAAACAAGCCAGTTCCCCCAGGGAGTCAACATGGATTCTTGTGGCGCCTCCGAGACAAGCACAATCGAGTCGGCCTGTTTGAGGTCAATCCAGGGCACGAGCTGCACAGAATGACACGCATGATGCAGGAAGGGCTGTGGGCTGCCACCCAGGTCTTCATGGACAACCCACCCAAGGTGAATGACCAGTCCATCTCGTGCAACACAAACTCCAAGAGGGACGCCCGGCCGGCTATCCGTGATACTGTGGTACTGGGGATCAGAGAGACCTACCAAAGAGAGGGAGGCAGGGATGTGTGTCAGGAAGCAGAAATTCTGGGCTGGGATGCTGGAAAGCCTGGGAGGTACGAAGGACTCCCTGCTTCAAGAGGTGGATGTGTGCTCTAGGTGGGCCTCTTTCTCTCTCTAGGTAGGCCTCAGTACCCCCATCTGTATAATGTGTGGAGGGGTTACTACCCCTTGGTTGCTGAGGCCCCTGGGCCCTGCCAGCTTGTATGGTTGAGAAGGGACCCCGGCTCCACCCAAGCCAACCCAGCCCATCCTCCCTGGAGCCTGTCGGGCTGGGGCCACGCTGGCTCAGCAGAAAGGGTCACCTAATTGCCAGCTCAGCAACCCAGTAGGCGGGTGAGCCTGTATGTTGTTTGTGTGCACACACATGTGCACAGTCCAACTACCACATCTGGAGGAAATTCCCTAGACTTCACCTGCAGAAAATCCCTTCTGGCTGGGCTCCAAACATTTGAACCCTCTCGCCCTGCCTCTGGCTGCCAGTGCTGAGGACCCTGTTTCTCCAATCCATCCCCCTTCAGATTTTGGCCCTGAAGCCACCTTCCCCAGGCAGCCTCCTCTAGTCTGGCTCTCCCAGGCACAGCTGGCAGATGGCCTGGCTTCGGGGCCTTGCCTTTCGTTGGGATGGAATCTGGCTGTGCACAGCCAGCACGAGGGAAAGCATGTTCCAGGCTTGAACTCACAGCCTGGTCCTGAAGACTCAGAGGTGGGTGATAGCACACACCCATGGGGCCTTGCCTCAGGTCCTGCCCATCCTTCCTCCAGCCCTGAGTGAATCTGAAGCCCAACTGCCCAGCTCAGGCTAACAAGACTCATCCAGTCCCTGTTTGCTAAAGTAACAGACAAGGTCAGGTGTTGTAGTCACAATCTCTGGGTAGGCGATGGCGGATCCCGACTTTCTCTAAATCCCTCTACTCACCCCTGCAGGGACCTCCCTCCCAGAAGGATTTCTCTGAAGTCATGACCCAGGTTCACGAAGAGGTAAGGAGCCCAGAAGGAACAGGAGTCTGCCTTGGCTCCTTCCCCCTCAGCTGTGAGTGCCAGTGATGGCTTGTTCCCAGGACCTAGCTGTGTCCTGCCTCTCCCAAACTAGAGGCCCACTGCCTACATACACCTGAACCCACATGGGGCCGCTTTCTCCTCCACAGGGCTTCGAGATGGGCACCCTGGCCGGCCCAGCTTTTGCACGTTTGAGGCAATTCCTAGGCCTGTCTGAAGAGGACTACCAGGCTACTCTGGGCCCCGGTGGCCCCTACCTTCAGTTTCTCAGCACCTCCAAGAGCAAAGCCAGCTTCTTCTTGTCGTGAGCTTGCAGCAGGGGTGGGGCGGATTGGAGGCTCGGTTCCAAGCTGGCGGGATGGCCACGGGCAGAGGGTCAGGGCCAAATGAAGGTGGAATGAAGCGAGGGAGGGTGGTCTGACACATCCATTCTCGTGCCAGACTAGGAGCAAGAAAGAGATCGGGTCGGAGCTGCTCCAGTCAAGTCTGGACAGTAACCGCTCTTTCTCACTCGCAGCCACGACCAGCGCTTCTTCCTGAAGACCCAGAGGCATCAGGAGGTTCAGGTGCTGCTCGCACACCTGCCCCGCTACGTGCAGCACCTGCGGCGGCACCCACACTCGCTGCTGGCACGGTTGCTGGGTACGCCGCTGGGGGCAGGTCCTAAACCGCAAAGTGCCTGGAGAGGCGGGGTCTGTGGACGGGGCGGATCCTGGGACGGGAGCCCAAAGTGGCCGATTTGGAATTGGAGTATTTTGGGGTGGACCAGCACTGATTCAGAAGGGACACAGATTCAGAAGGGAGTCTTGGGGCGGAACTGGAGTGACAAACTCAGGTATGCTGTGGGTCTTGAGAAAGATGCGCGACCGGTCACGCAGATCCGTGATTGCGGAGTTAGAGGCCTTCACCTGGAGCCTTCTCTTTCAGGAGTGCACAGTCTGCGGATAGCTCGCGGAAAAAAGGTGGGTGTGGCGGAGGCGAGGTGGCTCAGCAGTGGGGGCTGCTGGAGGATGAGGTCCGGGCTCCCCTCACTCCCCACCCCTGTCCTCAGAAGTACTTCATCATCATGATGAGCATCTTCTACCCTGTGAGCCGCATCTCTGAGAGGTGAGTCCTTCCGGAGCGGATATAGGATTCCGATTCCACAGGGACGGTACAGTCTGAGGCCCCAGTACTTAGGCGTTAGACCACCAAATATGATCCTCCCAAGATCAGTAGGTGGGAGACAGATCCCCACTACCCACTTCTCTTAAAAAGGCATTGAGCTGTTTCCGTTCTTTTCTCCCCTTGCCTTATCTCCTCAGTACTGGGATTACAGGCCACCACACTGTACTAGCCACCTTCATTTTATAGTTGAGAAACTGAGGAAGTCTAATAGGATCAGAGAACAAGACAGGGAAGATGATTCAGATGGTAGAGTCACCTGCAGGCAAGCCTGTAGGCTCGAGTTCAATCCCCAGGACCCACACGGTGGAAAGCATTAACTAACTCTTTCAAGTCAGCTACAGGCACCATGCACTCACGCATAGAAATAAAAAATGACCGGGCGGTGGTGCACGCCTTTAATCCCAGCACCCGGGAGGCAGAGGTGAGCGGATCTCTGTGAGTTCAAGGGCAGCCTGGTCTACAAAGCAAACTACAGAACAGCCAGGTTTGTTACACAGAGAAAACCTGTCTCAGATAAACCAAAAATAAAGAAAGAAATGTAGTTAAAATTGGAGAACAGACCCACCCTGCTGGTGGAATCCTCTTTCTGGCAGACAAGATACTGAGAAACAGGCAAGGCAGGGCTTACACCGGGGTTGGACTTGCAAAGGCCTGAGTTCAAATCCTTGCTTACCCTGTGACACAGACAGCTTAAAGGAACGCTTGAGCCTGTGTTTCTCCATCTCTAACATGGGGACACAGTCTATGGGGGTGCTGATGTTTGGAGGTGTCTTAGCCCATGTAGGAACAATCACATCTGGGAAGCTCTTGCTTCCAATGATTTCTGTGTGTACCCCACCTCCCAGGTATGACATCAAGGCTTGTGAGGTGAGCCGCTGGGTGGAGCCAGTTCCTGAGGGCAGCCCCTTTATCGTGGTGCTGAAGGACCTCAACTTTGAGGGGAAGACCATCAACCTGGGTGAGTCCCGTGGTAGTCACTGTCTCCTCTTCCTCCATCCAGGGTGAGGTTTGGAAGAGGGCCCCTAGTACTGCTCTGTGCCCAAATTCAGATCCTTGCTCCAGATTTACACAGCCCGGGGGGTACAAGGCAAATCACAGGATAGGGATGGCCACGACATCCACACTTTGGGGCAAGTGCAGGTGCAGCCCGCACGCACACGAGGAGGACTCAGGTGGGGTCTGGTGATCTCACAGGATCCCAGCGGAGCTGGTTCCTCCGCCAGATGGAGCTGGACACCGCCTTCCTGCGGGACCTGCATGTGCTGGATTACAGTCTCCTGGTGGCCTTTCAGCTTCTCCACGAAGATGAAAAGGATTCTTACAACGTTTACAGTACGATGAGGTGCGCCTCGCCTACTGGTGCAATGGCAGGGACAGGTGTGGAAAGCTAGGCGGTGGGGGTGAGGGCTGCCTTCCCTCTGGTGGCATGGCACAGGCCTGAATGCTGGGAGGTACTCTGTGTGTGTGTGTGTGTGTGTGTGTGTGTGTGTGTGTGTGTGTGTGTATGGCTACTAGAGGCAAGGGACCCGGATCGACCACAGCAGAGGACAGAACTAAAGGGGTCCAACTGATCAAGGCCCTTTAATGAGGTTTTGAACAGTCTGCCTATTTTCTGGCGGGGCATATGGGGTCACCAGAGGTTTCTAAGCAGGGATAAGATCCATTTAGTTCTTTTGGCCTCTTACCCAGTCGTTCCATCTCTAGGCCCCTGAAGTCGCCATGACTGGCACCATCACCGTGTACTGTGTAGAAGTGACTGTCACTCTGTGCATGTTGGCCATGACCCTCACTGAGACCATGGGCTGTTTCTCACTTTACAGATGTGACGGTCAAGCTCAGAGCAGGCAAGGGAAGTCAGTGGGCTCCTGTTCTGATAGCATTCTCCAAGGCTCACCTCTGTGGTTGAACAGAAAGGCCATTTAAGAAACCAAGTCTGCTGGATGGATACTTTAAAGCAGACCTTTAATCCCAGCACTTAGGAGATAGAGGCAGCTGGACCTCTGAGTTCAAGGTCAGCCAGGGCTACATAGTTAGACCTTGTCTCAAACAACACCAACCCTGAACCCAAGCCCATTGGTCTAATGCAGGGGAATAAAAGATGAGGATGCCCTCGGCTCTCATGCACCTTCTATTTCTGCCCCGTCTATGGCAGAGGCCCTTAGGGCAGAGGAGGTTTGAGTAGGATCCAGAGTGATAATGGCCCATACAGTCACAGCCCAGGCATCCACGGAGCAGTGCTGTTCAAGCACGGCTCTTACCCACTGCCAATGTATCGAACTGAGCACTACCAAGTCCCAGTTTGCAGAGGATAGCGTCAGGATGAACTTTTTCCCAATAGGCTCTTTAACGCTGCCTCACAGCTCCCCAGCTTCCAGCTTAATCCTGCCCAGGCTCTTCTGCCACCCCTCTTGATTGGTCGGTACTGTGGTGGGGCTTGTCTCTCATTGGCTGAATTTTCTCCAAGAGCCCGCCCTCAGCTATAGCTGTAGTTCTCAACCTGTGAGTCTTCAAACCAGATATCCTGCTTATCAGATTTTACATTACGATTCATAACAGTAGCAAGATTACAAAGTAGCAATGAAAATAATTTTATGGCTAGGGTCACCCCAACATGAGAACTGTATTAAAGGGTCGCAACATTAGGAAGGTTGAGAACCACTGCCCTATTATAGTGTCTCCTGCAGGACAAGGTAGAGAAATTGAACTTGCTTTGCCTGGGATTTGGCGGCAGGAACCTGCTCCTAAAAATACATTTAAGGAACCCGGCAGTAGTGGCTCACATCTTTAATCCCAGCACCCGGGAGGCAGAGACAGGAGGGTCTCTGTGAATTCAAGGCCAGCCTGGTCTACTGAGCGAGTTCCAGTACAGGGTCCAAAGCTACAGAGAAACCCTGTCTCGAGAAACCACACACACACACACACACACACACACACACACACAGAGTTCACAGTTCACAGGTCTACAAACTGCGGTTAGACTCTGTTCTCAGTTCTTCATCTCTATGTGCCGAAGGCTTCTGGGATTGGACTCCCCACAGAGACTTAGAGGATACAAGATGAGGGCCAGGTTGTATGATCTAAATGTTTGAGATTGGCCCTCCCCAACAGAAATATAATTTAGTCCACAGTCCTATGTCCCATTCACAGACACTGGCCAGAAGTAGCTTTTGAGTCTTTGAAAATAGAATTAATTTTTTGGGGGGCCCTGGTGATGTAGCTCAGTTGTTGTTAAAGAGCTTATCTAATACGCCAAGGCCTGGCATGGTGGTGCACACCTTTAATCCCAGCACTTGGGAGGTAGAGCCAGGTGGATCTCTGAATTTGAGGCCAAAATTCAAGTGAGTTTCAGGACAGCTAGGGCTGTTCCACAGCAAAACCTTGTCTCAAAAATAAAACAAAAATATTTTATTTCAACAACCTTAATGTATATAAGACTATTTGCGTTATTTTCAATACTGCCCTTTTAAAAGATTTTATTTTTAAATTACATGTGTGAACATGAGTGCACTGCCTGCAGAGGCCAGAGGATGGCGTTGGAGTCCCTGGAGCAGGAGTTACAGGCAGTTTTGAGGGGCTCTTGGTGTATGCTGGGAACTGAAGTCTGGTCCTCTTCAAGAACAGCAGGATGGCTGAGCCACCCCTCCAGACCCTCAGTACTGATTTTGAAGTTCAGTTTATATTGGAACTTGATATTATTCATGACAGTGGCTATATTTCAAGGGTTCAGCAGCCACTTGTGGCCAATGTCTGACTGTCAACTACGCTATTCCTCAGCTTCCTAAAGTAGCTCACTGGCTGGGAGGGGACAGCTTTATTCTATTTCCACACCTAGGTCCGTACATGATGCGCCAAATTTGGGGCTGGAGGAGGGCCGGAACCGCCGGCTGCTGCTAGACGTCCCCAACGCCCTCCATGTCTTGGATGGGCCAGACCAACGTTATTTTCTGGGTTTGGTGGATCTGACCACCGTCTATGGCCTTCGCAAACGGCTGGAGCAGTTGTGGAAGACGATGCGCTATCCAGGCCAGTCCTTCTCCACCGTCAGCCCGGCTCGCTACGCCCGTCGCCTGTGTCAGTGGGTGGAGACGCACACCGTGTGACTCTCACCTGTCTGCTTTTTCATCTGGATATTGGGCATGCGCCCGCAACAATTTTCCAGCGGTACCCAGGGAGCTAGCCTGCAGTTACTCCTACTAGCCACAGGAGAGCAGCATCCCCTAACTAATGCTGTAACTATTCAGCCCTATTGGGTGACGGTGCTGTGTCCTGTTTAGAGGAAGGAATCCCCCCCTCAACCCCAGCCTCATTAGCTCATTTACTATTAAAAAAAAAATGTTGATATTCTCTTTTTACAGACCACGAAATGGAGGCTCACAGGGTGAAGGGGGGTGAGAAAAGACCACAGCAATAAATGCTGGAACTAGCCTGCACCATGCCTTGGGCCCGGGAACTTACAGTCTTGGCCACCAGCTCCTGTAGTCCTAGCTTCACACTCTGTAGAAGGGGGAAAGTGGACACTCTGCTCCCTTGTCCCAATGGGAGAACAAGTCCAGAGGCTTTAAGGTGCAGGTTAGGAGCAAGACCAGTCCCGGATACTAGGCCTCCCAGTTCCAAGCTCTGATTAAGGCTCCACAGTGCCCCTCTGGGAGATAAGTGGGTAAAGAAGCGGCAGAGCAGTTGTCCTGGAGTTGGTCATGGCGAGGGTGGTGTGGAAGCGAGGCTGGGGGGGGAGGGCCCAAAGTTCACTGTTGATCTTGAATTATCTCTCAGTCACCTGTCAAATGGGGAAGCCCCAGCTGCTAGTCCAAGAGTTTTAGGATAGTCATTAGAACCCCTAAGTACCTGCTTTCCTTCCTCTGGGAAACCAGCATGGCCTCTGACCCCAGACTGAGCCAATTTTGATCAATGGCCTTTTCTTCCAAGATGTACTAGAGCCTGGCTGTGTTTCCAGGACATGGTGCTAATTCCCGGTGCCTTCTTGGTCTGATGTATGAGATAGAAAGATACACACAGACCTCAGTAACACAGTCAACATGGCCCGGGCAGCTGCCCTACAGCAGGCTCTTTCCTGGGATGCACAGCTTTGGGGAGAAGCCTGGGGCCAAAGTCCTGGGGAAAGGAACCGTTATCAAATCACCTCCCAGATGATGTCAGGAGGGAAGGGACTTTAACTTCTAAACTGAGACCAGATTGGTCAGACATGTCCCTTTTAGTTCCCAGGCTAAGGACACAGTGAAGGACCTGGAATTTGGGAGAAAGGAAACCTCTTAGCAAGAAGTAGCATTGTGGGGGCTGTAGGGGGGTTGAGAGATGCCCCCCAAGACTAGCCAGCCAGGACCAGACTAGCCAGCCAGGACCCTGGGAAAGTCTCTCAATAATTGTTCTACTGGCTCATCGGAGATGGCCAGACCTTGAAAAGTGGCTGGGGAGTCAGGCTGTGGTGACGCACACCTTTAATCCCAGCACTCCAGAGGAGAGGCAGACAGATTTCTCTGAGTTCAAGGCCAGCCTGGTCTACAGAGTGAGTTCCAAGATGTGATCAAAAACTACACAGAGAAACCCTGTCTTGAAAAGCCACACACAAAAAAGTGGCTATTTGGACAGGATGAAGGGGAGAGCAGGCGAGGCTGGCCTCAGTGGAGCATTCCAGGACCTGCCATTTTCCAGACATACACATGGCCTGTTCTGGGTGTTCCTGGATGGTCGCTTTGCGCTGCTGCAGCTGCAGGGCTTTCTTCCTGGTTGGCAGGAAGTTGAGAAATAGTGTTCAGCTTCTGATGCTACCCAGAGATGTCCAACCAGAGGTGTAGGAAGGTAGCAGTTGCCAGAATAGCAACTGGGATCTGTTGCCACATCTTCTGGGCCTGGTTCCCAAGGGACTGACTCAGAGCCCTGCGTCACACACAAAGGTGACAACTCTCCTTCTACTCTCCTGCCTGTGAACCTTGAGAAGGCCTGAGGCTGTGAGGGAAGTGGCCTAGGACGGCAGAGACCCTGGACTGCTCGCTCTCCTGCCTTGTTTTGTATGTGTTGGTACTGACTGAGGGCATCACAGACGGACAGGAGTCTAATGGGTGCATGGGCATGAGAACAAGGGAACTGACTCACAGAGCGACTTCACGGTGCACAGCTGGGCAGGGGGCTAATACCTGTAGCATTTGTGGGGCTGAGCAGGTCCTAGACCAGACTGGACTTTGCTAGTGAGTTTTCATCAACTTGACGACACAAAGTAGGGTCATCTGGGAAAAGGGAACCTCACTTGAGGAAATGCCTCCATCATTGGCTTACAGGCCTGTCTTTGAGGGCGTTTCTTCCTTCCTTTCGGTTTTTGACTAATAACTGGTGTGGGAGGACCCAGCCTTCCGTGGACGGTGCCTCCCCTGGACAGCTAGTCCTGGGTGGTTTAGGAAAGGTGGTTGAATGTGAGCCTAAGGAACAAGCCAGTAAGCAGCACCCCTCCAAGGCCCCTCTCCAGCTCCTGCCTCCATGTTCCTGCCCTGACTTCCTTCATGATGGGCTGTGATGGGGATGTGTAAGATGAAATAAACCCTCTCCTCCCCGAGCTGCTTTTGGTCGTGGTGTTTGTCACAGTAGCCGAGAGCCAGCTGGGAGAGCTACATAGAGAGATCCTGTCTGAAATAATAAAATAAATTTGAAGTGTCACATTGGAAAGGGTGATTGGCCACGGTGCTCCCAAGGAATTGAGGAATGAGCGGAGTGACAAGGAGCCCCACTAGCATGTGACTGGAGCAGTCCAGATAGAGTCATGCCACAGGTGCAGGGCCCTAAGATAGGAATGAGCTGGCTATGAGCTCAGAAGGCGGCCACAATGGAGGGGTGCCATTCTCGTCCCCAGGGGCCCTGAGGACGGTGAGACGGTAGTGGGAATACCACACAAACCAAGCCAAAGCGCATCTGTGGGATACAGAATTTTCTGGTGGTGCCCTGAGCCACCTCTGCCCTTTTTTACTGAGAGAGAGTGATTTTTCCCACCTTACAGAGGTGGGGGGGGGGGAGGGGCGGGGGGACGACGAGGACGACTCGGGTAAAGGCTGCGTTGACATAATCAGTACAAACGGGTATATCGAAAACGGCCTGAGCCATGAATCCCAGCTCTCGACCCTCTACCTCGGCTAGCAGAGGCAGCTGGATCCTGGTTAAGTCCGAGGTCTGTCTGAAGCATGTGGGACTCTTGTCACAAAAACGAAAACATGCTTCATTATTGTCGATCTGAATTTCAAGTTCACATCTTGTACTTCATTTGAGCAGACAGCCCTACCAGCCTGAAACCCAGGGCTGCTTAATTCGAAACTATTGCTTTATTTCCTGTCGCCTGTCACTTCCCGGGCTATTTCAGAAATGGAGAACCTCAAGTCTCCCCGGCCAGACAGCCTTTGCATGGTGGCTCGGACCTTCTGGAGGTTTTTTTCCCTCTTTCTTCCATGCCCTTGGCACACACCAAGTAGGGTGGGACGCTAAAGTAGACGCCCCCGACGTCAAGAGCTCGACCCCCCCAGTCCCGAGATCGCTGAGGCCGCCATGCACGCCCCCAACCCGGCGTAGGCCCCACCCCCTGTGCGCAAAGCCTCCGCCCCTCCGCCAGGCGCCGCCCATGCCCCCGGGCTGCGCTGCTCGATCTTCCACCCAGCAGAAGCTGCGGCTGCAGCACCGCCTCCCACCCGGGGCCGATTTCAGGCCCTCTGGTCGGGCCCTCTGGACATGGAGCTCCGAGCAACGCTTCGTGAGCCCCCGGCGCGCCCCAGCCTTCCTTTCTGGTTAGCGCCCAGTGTGGGGAGGGGACGATGGAATTTAGCAGGGTGAAAGAAAACTCCTCATCCCGCCCGCCCCAGGCCTCTCCATCGCCCCGCGGTAGAGAGATGGGATGGGTAGGAAAGAAATCCCTGCTCCCGGCTTTCTTTGCCTGGCTTTGACCAAATGGGTAACCTTGAGCCGAGAGTGTCTCCTCCCTGCCTGTCCTTCCCCATCTGCACAATGGGGATTGGTTTGGCAGGGTCTCTGAACCCACATCCTTTAGGACGGGGCACGTTGTCTCATACTTGGAGACTTTAAGACTATTGGTTCCTGGGCCTTTTGCCTTGACCTGGATCTGTACTCTTTCCTTGCCTCAGTTGCCCTCATATCCTAGGACCAGCTTCCAGCCTTTCCCATCCCAGGCTCTGGAGACAGCAGCCTCCGGACTACTGAGGGCACAGACAGCATGAAGGCCCGGGTAAGTGACATGGAAGGAAGAAAGCTCACTGGGGAATTGGGGACAACCTGGGCAGAGCTTTACAATCACCTTATGCCAGGAATTATAGCAACCCCCCCACCCCTTTTGGTGTTAGGACGGAACTCAGAGCCATGTAGATGCTAAGCACATGCCCTAACACAAAGTCCCGCCCACAGCCCCTGTGGTAGCCCCTGTGGTTGCCCCTGTGTCACCCCCTGCTCCTGAGGCTCTGTGACCCCCGTGAATGACTTGGTTCCCCTTTTGGTTTCACTTTGCTCTTCTCATCCTGAAATGGAGGTAATGATACGGTGTCACCATACGGTGGTGTCACCATACGGTGTCACTCGGTCGAGGGGGTGAGAAGTGTGAAGGTTAAGATCAGCGACTCTTGCCTTTACTGGTGAGCCCCTTGAATGTTAGATTAATCACCACTGCCCGAGCCACAAGGTCTCTAGTCCCTTGTGAGCAGGGGACCAGTTGCTGTGCGGAGCCCGAGGCCTCAGGGGCTGTGAACCCTGTCTCCTGGACAGCTGGCCACACAGAGAAGACTTATTTTTAGAAGCTGGTGTGGCTTATGGACAGACAAGGAAGGGTGGGCCCCTGGCAGGATGTGCTGTTCCGCACCTCTGGTTTTCTGGGCACACTGGCCAGCTCCTAGTGTTTCCTCTGGAGTGGCAATCTGAGAGTCACAGGTACTGAGATGGATGGCCCAGCAGACAGTGGCCTGGCCGGGCACTTTGAGTGAGTGTGCGGGTAGCCGCCCCAAGGTGAGAGGGGCAGAGGGTGACCTCCAGTGGCCTTTGGCATATCATCTCTAGAAGCGGGAGTGACTGAGCAGAAGCTTTCTAGCTATTGAAAGCATCTTCTAGGGCTGGAGAGATGGCTCAGTGGTTAAGAGCATTGTCTGCTCTTCCAAAGGTTCTGAGTTCAATTCCCAGCAACCTCACAACCATCTGTAATGAGGTCTGGTGCCCTCTTCTGGCCTTCGGGCATACACGCAGACAGAATATTGTATACATAATAAATAATTTTTTTTTTAAAAAAAGAAAGCATCTTCTATTGTTTTTTGATTTTTAAAACAGGGGCTCAGTCTGTAGCCTAGGCTAGCCTGGAACTCACTGTGTAGCCC